GGACACAGCAGGGAGGGGAAGGGAGCTGCGCACGGTATCCCCCACCCTCCATCCCCAAACGCAGCCCTACCTGTCTGCCCTCGCTCCTCCACACCCCGTTCACCGTCTTGGTGGGGGCGATGGTGACGACGGGCGGCGTGCTGGGCACGCTGTGTCCCCCCGGGGGCACGATGATGGGGCCCATGGGGCCACGCTTGGGCGTGCTGGCGGGGGAGCTGTGGTTGGTGGCCGGAGAGGACACCGGGGACGACTCGCTGCTCAGTGAGGAGCCTGGGATTCAAGCAGAAACTGCAGTAAGTCAGGGGAACGGCAGTCGGCTGAACGGAGCCACCCTGTGCAGGAGCTGGAGCCATTCCCCATGGGATGCCTCGCTGCAGGGAGCAGGGGTGGCACACTGGGATGCGCTCAGGGTGTTCAGCAGACTCCCAGCTGATGGACCCCCACCTTCCCATCCCTGAAATTCCCGCTGGTGCTGAAGGCTCCACCCAGCACGGTGGGATGGGGCGGCCTCCTGCTCCCACCTAACAGGGACTGCCAAACCCCCAGCCCCACAAAGCCCCTTGGCACAAGTGACACGGATGTGATGCTGGCCCCAGACGGCCACATCTTCCCAAGGCAGACCCAGAGACTCCTTAATCCAGCTGCAGAAGTTGTCAGGGACAAGCCAGGGCCTCTGGAGACACCGGGATGAAGGAGTGACTCCCTGAAACCCTTGGGCAAGGCTCTGGTTTCATTTGCATAATACATCTGTACTTTAACTTATCCCCACCCCAGGGATGCTGGCCGTATTTCCAAAGGAAAAATAAAAATGGAGTGAAAGTGGAGAACAGGAAAAGCAGAGAAATACAAATTCCACATTAACCGGGGCACAGGGAGCCTGCTGTCTGCTCCACGGAATACCTCCCATTCCTCAAAGCCAGCTGGGCAGCTTGGGGGGCTCTGAAACCCCAAACTCTGCTCCCTCCATCCCAGAGTGTGGGTCAGAGGGAGGATCCAACAGGCCAGCAGGGATCAGCTGTTGGAGAGTGAGGAGTGGGCTGTGCTCACAGGATGAGGTGACAGCGATGCTCCCAGGCAGTGAGCAGGGCACAGAGAGAGAGGCCTTGGCTCCCCTGAGCGTGCTGGGTGTCTCCTCACCCTCCTGCTGTGCCTTGTGCTGTGGGCACAGCGGCCAGCTCCTCACCCTGCACCCCCACCTCAGTCCCCTTGCCCTCTCCTCACGCCACACGAGCCCAGGAGGGAGGCAGGAGGCTGGGAATGCCAGGGAAGCAGGGGGAGGGATGCTGGGTGGGAAGGATGCTCCAGAAGGACGCTCTGTGGGAAGGATGCTCAGCGGAGCAGAGGCCAAGCGGAGCATCCCGCTGCCGGCCGCCCTCCCTGATTAATTATTCCCGAGTCGCTCCGAATCGCTTTCATTTGAAGAGCAGCGAGGCTGGGGGAAGGAAAAAGGCTGTCCCCAACAAAGGAGGCCGATTTGACACCCACTGAAGTCTATCTTGTCAGCGCAAGGCCAACAACAATTAGCAGCCTAATCCCCTCTGAGCTGGGAAGCCATTACTCACCACGCGATAGCGTTAACAATCAATACCATCACAATGAGCCCGGCAATTAATGAAGCTAAAGTCTTACTTCAGAACCTTAATTCTCGCTGTGTGGCTTTAAACGGGAGGGTTTGTGATCGTTATAATTAACTGGTGGTATTCAGCCAGGAGTTAGTCAATGAAACTAATCTGGATTGGAGATGACAAGAGGCACAGTGTGATGGTGTCACCTTTGTTTTCTGACCTCCCGCTTCCCGCTCGGCAATAGCAGATTAGCAGCCCGGGCTGACAGGCAAATGTAATTAACAGCTGAGACCCTGACAGAGAACTGGGAAAAAAAGAAGGGAAGGAGGGGTGGAATCAAACCCACCCTGCGGACAGCCCCGGGCGGGACAAGAGGCAGCAGCCCCCGGGCAGGCGGCAGCTTTGTGGGGATTTGCTGGGAAGGGGTCAGTCGGGATGAGCCTTGACGGTTTGGGATGCTGTGGAGCAGCAGGGATGTGCCAGCACACCTGTGAGCCCATAAGGCTGGAAAAAACACAGCGATCCTGCGTGGATCCGGCATCTGCCACAGCCGAGCATCTCCCAGGGTGGGAAGGGAAGTGGGAGTGAGCATCTCCCCTGGTGGGAAGTGGGTGAGCATTTGAGGGGAAAGCAATTCATTTCCTGGTGCTAAAAACCGCAGCAAGGAGAAAAATCCCCTTCCCAGCACACACCCAAATCCACACGGATCAAAAACCTCTGGGATGGGCCGCTTGAGGCACCCAAATGGGCAAGGGAGGGGTTTTTGCAAACAAACTGCACAGATGTTAAGGGGAAATTCAAAGGGAATGTGGCTGCTTCTCTCCAGTGCCACAAAATCCGTGCCCAAACCTGCTGGTGTCCCTTGGGATAGGCTGAGCAGCACAGGGAGGGCAAAAGCTGTGGGAGTGCGAGGGGAAAAGACAGCAAAATAATTCCCCAAACTCAATCAATCGCTCCAAAGGAAGCAGATGGGCTCCAGAGGAAGCAGCTGGGAAAAACCAGGAGCTTCCAGTGAGGATGAAGCATCACCAAGACCTGATTCCCTGGGAGTTACAGGGACCTGGTATCCCCACACGTTTCCTTGGGAGCAGCCAACGCTTCAGGTCATGGCTGTGCCAGAGATTTTCGGGCTGCAAGGAGGGTCCTGTAGATGGTGCTTCCAAAAAGGATTTTCCAAAAAGAGCCTTGCAAAAGGGGTCTTGGGAAAAGGACAGTGCCAAAAGGGCTTTTGAAACACGGTCTTCCAAAAAGACTTTGCAAAAACTGTCTTGCAAAGGGTTGGGTGTCTTTTCCAGGGATCAAAGTGCCCAGGAAGTGTGCAGTGATCCAAGGGGAGCACCCACCGATGCAAACAGCAGGGATAAAGACTATTTAATCCCAAACTGGTGATAGCAGCAGTCTCCTGAAACACTTCCCAGCTTGGAGACTGTCTGACATCCGGGTGTGGGAGCCCCCGTGATTCCCATGGGATAAACTCCATGTGGCAAGGGGAACTCGGGGTGCTCCAGAAGCAGCATCCCTCATCCAAACAGAGGGAGGAGGTGTGATGGAGGATGTGGCTGACAAGAACTGGGCACCCCCTGGGGCTGTTTAGCTGAGAAATTTGACCCGGGACATAGCGAATTTGGGGAACCTCTGTGAAAAGCAGCATGGTGGGAAGGAGCAGGGCTGGTCCCTGCCGTGCTGCGCTCTCCCAGGGTACAGCCAGTGACACAACACTCAGATTACTCCGGTAGAACCGAATTCCCAAACTTCCCCCTCAAGACAAAACACCAGGAAAAGGCATTAGTTGGGAAACAGCAGGAAAACACCGGCTCCAGCTGCTGGGAAAGGCACGGGCGTGTGTCAGCTCCCTGTCCCCACCTCTGGGCTCCTCGGCTTGCTTGGCGAGCTTGCGGAGAGCGGCGGCGAAGCTGGAGGAAGGTGCTGCCTGGACGGACAAAGTGCTGCTGGCGGCGGGGCTGCCATTGGGAACGATGGAGCCGTTCAGGGGGGACGGGGTCAGGGGGCTGACGGTGGCGGTGGTGCGGGTGGCCGTGGAGAGCATTCCTAGGGACGGCGACTTCGGCTCATGGCTCATGCCTGACAAGGAGAGAGACCCGGTTAGACACGTGGAGACGGGATCCTCCATTCCCCCAGGAGCTGGGGGGCTTTCCTCTAGCTCACCGTCCCACCCCAAAATGCACCCCGAGTTCAGGCAACGGCGGGGGAAGCGTGTCCCACGTCTCCACTGAAGCCCTGGATAACGGAGCAGGAGGGCTCAGCAGAGCTCTGCAGGAATGGACGGGGTTTTTTGGGGGACACAGGGACTTCAGCACCCTGATGCAGGTGATGGGGAGAGGCGCAATCCCCTGACTCGCATGGTGCTGCCAAAACCCAAAGCACCGCTGCTGCACCCCTAATTGCCACGGCTGCACCCCCAAATCCCAGCCACTGCACACTCAAATTCCCGCCATTGTACCCCTAAATCCCCAGCACAGCATCCCTGGATTCCCAACACTGCACCCCCAAATCCCCACTGCTGCACCCCTGGACTAACAATATTTCATCCCTGGGTCTTCAGCATTGCATCCTCAAATCCCCAGTAACACATCCCGGGATCCCCAGAACTGCATCCTTAAATCCCTATCACTGCACCCCCAAAACCCCAATATTGGATCTCTGGATCCCCAGCACTGCACCCCCAAAACCCCAATATTGTATCTCTGGATCCCCAGCACTGCACCCCCAAAACCCCAATATTGTATCTCTGGATCTCCATCACTGCACCCCCAAAACTCCAATATTGGAACTCTGGATCTCCATCACTGCACCCCCAAAACCCCAATATTGGATCTCTGGATCCCCATCACTGCACCCCCAAAACCCCAATATTGGATCTCTGGATCCCCAGCACTGCACCCCCAAAACCCCAGTATTGTATCTCTGAATCCCCAGCACTGCACCCCCAAATCCCCAGCACTGCACCCCCAGCTCCCCCATCGCACCTTCAAATCCTCACACCCCAAATCCCCACCATTGCACCCCAAAGCACCGAGGTGCTGCAAGGCACAGTGACCACAAAAGTGAGGTTCAGGTGCTGAGCAGCAGGGTGCAGCCCTCCCCGAGCCCCCCCCAGCTGTCACACCAATTGCTCCAGGGCTCTCCACCTCCCAAAACAGCAACTGCTGATGTCAGGGCCCTTAAAATAGACTTCACCCAGCAGCTTCATTAACACCAGCCTAAAATTAGCCCGGCTCCCAGGTGGGCAGGAGGACACGGGGGGGTCGTGGGGGAGCCCCCAACTCCCAGCAGGCCTGGAGGCAGCTCGAGGCACCGAACACCTGGAGCATCCAGTGCAGAGGGTGGATGGAGCATCCCCGGAGCATCCCACGGCAGCGGATGGCCAGGGCGGGCGGCGGGCGCCGCGGGAGCCGGGG